TGCTCTGTAAAAAAACAGCTTGAAGCACTGGATCCCAGTGGCAGATGCAGGAGTTTGCACTCCAGACTTTGAACTGTCAAAGGTGACATCAGGAGGTCCACGAGGAGTAAAGTTAGTATTTATGTCAGGGCTACAAGTCAGGACTAGCCTATAGCGGCTGAATTAAGCAAACAAGTATCTCACCGGTAAAGTTTTGATTGATCACAACCGTAATCAAGGTAAAAACAATTACAATGGCATAAGGAGTTGCATATTAGGCTCTCATCTAATGTATGAATATTCTATTCATGTTCATAGTCTTCCTCTCATAAGATTGCGTAATGCTGAATTTTCATGAACTGCAATGTTTTTGGTTTCATGTCAGTGTTTTATGATACATGATATACAGTATTATATTTATTTTAACTGTATAAATTTGCGGTTTAAAAAAAAATATATTACATTATTTAATGTAATGAAATTATAAAAAATTATAAATCATTTCAGCAAAAAAGAATGGAATAAATAAAAGCACAAATTGTTGGAAAGTATGTATAAGGTGTCAATTATAAGTACTGTGTTAAAGCTTATAATAGCACCAATTGAATCAACACAAACAACAGTTCTGAGGAAAAATATTAACTATAAGTAAGCTTACACTTATTCTAAGTTAGATCCACTATTGTATGCTGTTGCCGTATGGCAACATATCAAAGTACCTTAAAATATTTTTTCCCCCCAAATGTATTTTTTATTTTTTTTACAGCACTTCCAAGTTAAGCTTAGAAAAGAAAAAGATTCAAATATTTTTTTCTATAGGTCTATCATAATGTGTGCGGTAGAGGGTTAAAAACCATAGTTTAACCATGTTTTTTTTTGTTTTGTTTTTTGGTGGTGGTGGTGGTGGTAAAACCGTGATTATACAAATAGTAGTACGCCAAAAAACATGGTTTTACTACAATAAAACTAGGGCTGCACGATAAATTGCATGCATCACATATAGGGATGTGCGGGTACAGCAGGAGCTAGTCGACACTGAAAATAAGTCGATTACACGACAGAAAAAGAAAAAAAAACATTATCATTCCAATACCATTGTTACATTTAAAACATTTTAAATAAGTTCAAATAAAAAAAATAATAAAATAATACATTATTTTAAAAAGTGTATCTGGGCGTAAACTACATTTTTACCTCAGACCTCGCTTGAGTTGTCAGTTGTG